CATAATTACTAGCGTCACACATTATTTCAAAAGGTTAAGGGGTTGAATGACAGGAGCATAAGCAAGCAAGTTTTTAAGTTTATCAAAGGCTTCTTCACAATGTTTAGTCCATTCAAAATTATTATCCATTGTTAAAAGGTTATTTAAGAGCTTAGATATTACACTAAAATCTTTGATGAACCTTCTATAAAAAATAGTATGTCCTAAGAATGATCTAACATCTTTAATAGATTTTGGTATTGGTAAGTTATAACTCGATTTTAGATTTGTCAACCTCAATTCCTTTTGATGAAACAATGTGACCAAGTACAATGCCGTTTGTTACCATAAAATGACATTTTTCCCAATTCAGCACAAGATTCTTCTCTTCACACCTGGTTAAAACCTTTCCTAAATTAGTCAAACAATCATCAAATGAATCGCCAAAAACAGAAAAATCATCCATGAAAATCTCAAGAAAATGTTCAACCATATCACTAAATATACTAAGCATGCATCTTTGAAACGTGGCTGATGCATTACATAATCCAAAAGGTATCCTTTGATATACAAAGATACCAAATAGACATATGAAAGTAGTCTTCTCTTGATCTTCCAATGCAATTTCAATTTGGTTGTATCCTAAATAGCTATCTAGGAAACAATAAAATTCATGACGTGCAACTCTTTCTAGGATTTGATCCATGAAAGGTAAAGGGAAATGATCTTTTCTAGTCATTGAATTAAGTTTCCTATAGTCAATGTATATGCGCCAAACAATAACAATCCTAATGGGAATTAACTCATTGTTCTCATTTATTATTATAGTGACTCCAGACTTCTTGGGTACAACTTGGGTAGGACTTACCCATTTGCTGTTAGAAATAGGATAAATGATTCTATTATGTAGAAGCTTAATGACTTTATTTGCACTACTTCTTTCATATTAGGATTGAGCTTTCGTTGCATTTCCCTAAAGGGTTTAGCATTTTCCTCCAAATAAATTCTCTATGTACAAATCAAAGGACTAATTCCTTTTATGTTAGCTATGGTCTATCGTAATGCATTTTTCTGTGCATCTTCGATTATTCCTCTAGGCACTTTTATAGATCTATCGACAAGTAAAAGAGTTACAGAATTTGGTTTTAACTAACCTAGATTAAGACTTTGAAAAATAGATTGAGACTTTGAAAAACTGAATATGGAAGTAAATTCACACTAGCACCAAGATCAAGTAAGGCTCTTTCAATTTTATGCTCTCCAATAAAGCAAGAAATTGTAGGACAACCAGGGTCTTTATATTTCAAAGCATTATTGTTTTGAAGAATAGCACTTACTTGTTCGGCTAGAAAGGCTTTCTTTTTCACATTCAGTTTCCTCTTCACAGTGCATAGATCTTTTAAAAATTTAGCATAGGAAGGAACCTGTTTAATTGCATCCAGCAAAGGTATATTGATCCTTACCTGTTTGAAAGTTTCAAAGATTTCAGAGTTGTGATTGACTTTCCTTTGTTTGGTCATGATATGAGAAAACGGAAGTGCTTGCAGGGAATTAGTCTTTTCTTTGCAACTTTCAGATGCAACCCCTTTCTTGCCCTTAGAGATTGACTCATTATCTTTATCATAAGGTTTAAGAGTGGGTTTTTCAATAACCTTACCACTGTGAAGAGTAGTGACTGATTTGACTTGATCCATGTGTTGGCTTCTGAAACTACTTGTATTTGCATTGTATTGCCCCTTGGAATTTTGTTGTGGTTGAGATGGAAACTCACCTTTCTCTTTGAAAGCATGTCAATTTTGCAAGAGTATCTTTATAATCTGTCATGTTTTGAGCAAGTTGAGTACTTATTGTCTCTTGCTTTTTAATGAATGCATGCAATGTTTCCTCAAGATTTCTTCTAGGAGGTGGAGCATAAAGAGGTGCATATCCATGAGAATTTTGGAAATTATGGTGTGCTTGAAATGGTGGTTGTTTAGTTTTTCCATTATTATTATCACTCTTCCAACTAAAATTTGGGTGATTTCTCCAACTAAAATTGTATGTTTGCGAGAATAGATTGTGGTTGGCCTTTGATTTGTTGTTAACATAAGTTATAATCATGAATGCCTAACAATATTACAAGTATTAGCATTAATCGAATAAGATAACTAATGTAATCATGTTAACAATTTATAATCTGATTGGAACCTCTATGTATGGTTTCCAATTGAATAATAAGAGTTTATACTATACTTGCCAAACTTAAAAAGAGATGTCGATACAATCCAAACCAGAATGCTGTTCGATAATTAGGTCATATATGGAGTTGTAGATCTCAAATTTAGGTCTATTTTATATGGATGGAAAGATAATACATAGGCCTACAACTTTCATATGGAGCCCAAGACTTAAAAATATCATTTTCAAGTCCAAATTGTAGCAACAATAAAGAAGTCTGAATTTATCTTCCAGCCCGAGCACTGTTCAGTATTTAGCCCATATTTGGAGTTCTACAAGTCCAAATCACCTGAATGTTTTACACAAGAAATTTGAGACAATTTCCTATAACTTTCATGTTTTCAAGTGGCTCTAATTGTGAC